TATCGCTATGGAATAAGAGGCATACCCTATGACTAGTTTTCCTCTTACTTAAGTAACAGACGTCAATTTGTTTCAATAGGCAATATTCAATCTGATGAATCTGAAATTACATGCGGGGTTCCTCAAGGATCTGTTCTTGGTCCACTTATTATTGGTCCGGGTTATTGTATATTAACGATTTTCATAATTGTAGCAAGGCTTTTGAATTTAATATATTTGCAGATGATACTAATCTTTTCTATGCTAATGCAAGCCTTGTTAACCTGGAATCAATAATAAATGAAAATCTGGAAAAAGTCATTGATTGGCTGGCAGCTAATAAATTATCCCTAAATATTGACAAAACAAATTTTGTGCTTTTTCATCCAACCCAGAGAATACCCAACTATGAGATTTCATTATTGATCAGAAATAATCGAATTAAACAAGAAAAGTATATTAAGTATTTAGGAATTCTACTCGATTCAAACTTAAGCTGGAAATATCATATTTCACATTTGGCAAAAAAAATTAAACGCTGTATTGGTATTATTTCAAAAATTCGCTACTTCGTTGGCACAGAAATACTCCAACAATTATACTATACATTGATTTATCCATATCTAACATATGCTTTAACGGTATGGGGTAATACATATGCATCCAACCTAAACGTTTTAACTTTATTACAAAAAAAGGTAGTAAGAATGATAACATTCTCTAGCTTCAAAAGTCATACCTCTCCACTTTTTAAGCACCTTAACATACTTAAGTTTCCTGACTTAATATATTATCAAAATGCTCTATTTATGTTTGATTTTCACACCGGCAATTTACCAACTATATTTGATAATTTCTTTAAAAATGTTACTGAGGTGCACAATTACAATACGAGGTCTTCTGCTAAACAGCTACTATACCTTCCAAAAGTTCGAACAAATTATGGCAAGTTCAACATACGTTATCGTGGCAGCGTAGTCTGGAATTCTATTGATATGGAAATAAAATCCTTAAAAAGATATAAATTTAAGGCGTCATTAAAAAAATCACTCCATCAATTGTACCTTTGACGAATCTGGTTTTGTAGACATCTTTGATGATACAATATTTATACTTCCATGTAAATAACTTAATATTTATGTGTGTGTCGTCTGTTTTTTGTCTTCTATGATAATGTTTTGATGTATTAGTGAGCTAAGTCTTTTTCTTTTTCTGTTGTATTTCTTATCTGCCGTCTTGTTTTGTCTCCAAGTAGAGTCACATGTGCTACCTAAATTTATTAGCTTTTATATAGTTATTATAGGTAGCCTTTACTCTAATTTCTGTATTTGTAATTGTTGTGTTTTTTTTTTCAAATTCGCACTATGTAATGAAAGAGTATAAATAATAAATTATTTTATCTCATTATCTTATCTTATACACAAACAAATAGTTATTAAATTTAGGAATATACACTGACATAGGTGAAGGACAAATAAGGTTCAAGGTGTAGTCAACAGGACAAAAGTCCCATACAGATAAGATCCAAATAAATACTGATGTTTATAATTCTGAACATTCAAAGTATCAGCAGTATCAGTCTTGGAAATATTCCCTTGGTCGATCGCCAGTGACGCAAGAGGGGTTGTATTCTGTCATGTTTACGACTTTCTCCACAAGCAATTAGAAATGTCGAATGAAACCATCGGTCAAGTCGTAACTTCGTCATCTTCGACTTCAGATTGTGAAGCTGTGTATAGTGGTAGAATTCAGGGTCTTCGGCGTCTTTGGAAAGAGAAATTTAATCGTGCTCATCTTCATTTTGCTGACAGGGCCCACAAGATCGAATCCATGACAGGGAAGATTCGCAAAGAAGCTGAAATGAGATGGCTCGATGAAATCCTATCTCAACTGGATTACTCTGTATGATCTCAAAAATTTGCCAGTCGCCAAAGTAACATAGAAATCTTAGACATGCTGCAACCGTCAGTAATTCACTAGTAAAGAGTATGAAGAGGCTGGTGGAGACAAGATATATACGTTACTTCGTTGGCTCAGTTGATGTCGTTTTAACTAATGCTTATGTATTGGAACAGTTTTGGCAAGAACAAGCTGCTGAGGGAGATAACGAAATTTGCGGCCACTTGAAGAATTTAGTGAGTCCGCTTTTTCTATCAACCTTTAAATATTTCTACTTGCCGACGTATTTAGTCAGTCCGCATTCACGAGTGAAGCTGCACAGTCTGATCGGGCTATATCCATTATGGGATGACAAAGCCAATGTGGATAAATTTATTGGAAACATAACAAAAATGAATGAAATGCCCGTTCTGGAAAATCCCTTGAACAGACGGCTGCGTTTACAATACCCGAGTATCGAAGAAGGGAATTTTACGTCAAATTTTAGCAAACCCGATCAGCAAGTTAATTTTTTACAACATGATATTCAATTTCAACCTCGGGTACGAAATCGTCCACAACCGTTGACACCAGATAACATCAACAGAATAACTGAACATACAGTAGATTGAAGCAATTAACGTCGGCAATATTACGAGAAGCTTCAATATTTTTTGCGATGGGCGAACAGGAAGAAAATGTAATAAAAATGTTTGATGTCAAGTTGTTTGATTACCACAGCTCTGAAAGTCTGCGTGAACAAAATAACAATTTCACTTGCTAAACATGTAAACAGAGGTACACAGAGGTAACATGTAAACAGAGGTAACTTTTCATTTCCACGAAACCGCTGCTGTGAAGTATGTTCTGGGATAGATTGCCTATGCTTTCTTGACCAGTACGTAGCTTTTAAAGAAAGAGTTCGGGACGACAAGGAGACTTTCAATAATTCTTGGTTTGCTGAAAACGAAGCACGTCAGATTACATGGAATACTACTAATGTTTTATGCTACTTTCAAAAAACGCAACATGGCTTACATGAAGGTATACTGGATTTGGTTGAAATCATTGGAATATGCCTGACATGACTGTGTTGTCAAAACATTTTTAGTCGGAGACTCTGCATAATTTTCATTTTTCAAGCTTCTAGATAGCATTTAATATGTATAGGTTATTTTGAGGCAACGAGGGGATATGTGATTTATTCACCGAGGCGCGCAGCGCCGAGGTGAATAAACACATATCCCCGAGGTGCCTCAAAATAACGTACTTATTTTTCACACTGCGAGGTCGCGTTAATGAGTCAGAAAAGAAATAATTCTTAATGCCATTTTGCCTTCGTGATGTTGTTTTTTCTCATTTTTTGTGCTGCAAAGACATTGCAGGTGAATATTAGAGGGGATTATTAATTGCAGGTGAATATTAGAGGGGATTATTAAACGGAAATTGATTAGAGGGGAATATTGAATATATTCCCCGACAAGAACAAAGGAAACCGAGCAGGGTGAAAAATAAGGCTTTATATTTTAGTAAACACGAGTCATATTTAGCCCGTTATTCCATTTTGACCGTATGGTAGCGAAACGTAGCCTATTTCATTGTTCCAACAGCATTAGAGCAAAACTAATGACTTAATTATAAACGCAAAGGAAATTTCCATAACATTTTCTATTTACAAATGCGGTATGCTTGGTAACCAGGCCAGGGACCACTTTTTTGAAATCAGGAACCATTTTCAGTACCGAAATCTGCTACAATCTTGGCAAAAAGTTAATGAAACACCTATAAAAAATCAATAAAACAGACAAAATCCCCTCCCCTCTGCACAATGTTGGACATAGATTCTAAAAAAATGTGTACAATAGTTCATCGATGGCAGAGAGCACTATGTGTAGGTTTCTTGCTCATCTTAATCAACATTGGAAGGGGGGAAGAATAAATTAAATTGTTAATCAAACTGGATGTTTCATTAGTTTTTGCCAGGATTGTAGGCTCTCTCGCTGAAGCGTTCCGCACAGCACACCCAGGCATAAAACTTTTAAGACTTATTTAACTATATCAAAGCAGCGAATAGAGAGAGAGAGCCTGGGACTAGGCTGTGTAGAGCATAATTTTAACACTGTTTATTGTTATGATAGAGATTTTGAGTCGTTTTACTATTCTTAACACTCGTATAAAACGTAACTAATTAGTCATCAGGCTAACAAATATGTTCATAACTCTACTGGAGAGCTATACTGTGAATACGAAATCGTGGTAAACGATCTCTGCCAAATTAATAGGAGTAAATACGGGAAAACACAAGCGTTTTTTCTGTAACTAGAAGAGAAGCATGGCAGTTTGAATATGTAATTTTTGGTAATAGACAAACCGCCCCTTGAAAGTGCTACCGTTTTTCGCGTCTGCCTGAAAGTAGACGCTATATGCAATCGACTCGAGTGTTCGAAGGCAGACATCTGAAGATTTAAGGATTTTCTAATTTTTCATTTAATGATTTAGCTGACGCAACTTTTTTATAGTCGCTATGAAACCGTTTGTTCACGTCTGGTTCTTAAGGCCGTTTTCCATTAACGTTCGCTTTGTCCGTGCGGGCGAAGCGTTCATTGTTTTTGACGCGCCCGCGTGAGCAGATATTAGAGACCTTAAGATTGAGGTTTACGGCAAACGTCAAACCGCTAGCGAGGTTTTTGATTTTACAACTCTATTATAATAGCTTTTACACCAGTTTTGAAATATGTTAAACTTATTAAACTTGTGCTCTTTAGCAATGATTTAAGAAAGCAAATTAACCACTAGTCATGCCATTCACCAAAGCAGTAAATTACGATTTGGCGTTTGAAGTTGACGTTTGGCGTATAGATTTAATGCTTTAACTGCTACGAGGGCTTGTAGTCGTTAAAGCATGAAATTTATACGCCAAACGTCAACTTCAAACGCCAAATCTTAATTTACTGCTTTGGTGAATGGCATGACTAGTGGTTAATTTGCTTTCTTAAATCATTGCTAAAGAGCACAAGTTTAATAAGTTTAACATATTTCAAAACTGGTGTAAAAGCTATAATAACAGAGTTGTAAAATCAAAAACTTCGCTAGCGGTTTGACGTTTGCCGTAAACGTCAATCTTAAGGTCTCTTTTCAAAGCTCGCTCCGCCCGCGCGGGCAAAGCGACTGCAATGGAAACCGGCCTTTAGAATGTCACATTGTTTTAAAAAATTATTGTTATTATTATTATTATTATAATAAATTTCCAAACTAGCAGTAACAACTGAATTACTTTGGAATTAGAAGGTATAAGAACATAGGTATTCAATCTATTCTATATTTACAGGTAAAAATTAAATAAGTAAGTTAGATAAAAATTACGATAATAAACTAAAGTTTACTTATTATAAGCACGAGACGCAGCAGGAATGAAAGTGTTCGAAAAACGTTCAGTTCTACACCTAGGTTCTAATAGGTTGGAATAAGACCTCAGATCATAAGTTTGAAGATTTTTAGGCGGTACTAAGGCATTCAGTTTATGAGTGGGTTCCAACATCTTCGAAAAAGGGCGCTTGCAAAGAACTGTTCTACGTTCATAAAGAGTCATTAAGTTTGCTTTAAGCAAACTTTCAGCTTATAGGTAGTTCCAGGAAAAATCATTTTTAATGCCCTTTTTTGGATTTTTTCGACTTGATCACTCAGGTACTGAGGAAGGCCATAATGCCACACCTGACAAGCATATTCCACAATTGGTCGGATATGTGTGCAATAGGTTGAGATCAGGCTATGAGAAGGTAAATCATTTCTTTTAAGAAGGCGCAGACCATACAAACGTTTCGCGGCTTTCTTGCAAATGTAGTCAATATGGTGATTCCATTTAAGATCGTCTGAAAGAACAACGCCCAATAATTTGGCCCCGGAAACGACGTCGACCTCTTGACCACGGATGGTAATAGGGGCAAACGATCGAATAAGCTTAGAAAAGCAGACACGCAATTCTTTGGTCTTTGATACATTTAACTTCATATTATTGACCGATGACCATTCAGAGCAGCTGATGATGTTAGCGGCTAACTGGGACGGAGAATTGTTTGATAATATTTCCCAAAGGCTAGTATCATCAACAAATTTAACAGTTTCATCCGCCACAGCCAAGTCATTGATCATAATCAAAAACAATAGCGGGCCGAGCTTTGTTCCTTGTGGAACGCCGGCGTTTAAAAACTTCCACTCAGAAAAGAACTGACCAAGACGGGTTCTTTGTTGTCTGTCTGTTAGAAAGTTTGCGATCCAGTTGAGTAACACGGGATGAATTTCCATGTCTTTCAATTTTTTCGAAAGAATGTTATGATCTAATCGATCAAACGCCTTAGAGAAATCAAGTAAACAAATCCGTATAGTGTTACCTTGTTTGTCAGCTGCTTCATATAATTTATGTAGCATGTAGATTAATGCCGTACTAGTACCAATTTTTTTTGAGACGGAGTTAAGAAGCCATTTGTAGGGAAAGGATTCAAGAATCTTGCTGATAATTGGTGTGAGGGAGATTGGTCTGAAGTCAGAATCAACATCTTTAGGGGGCGAAGATTTTTGAATTGGTGTAACATTTGTTGCCTTCCATATTGAGGGAACAAATCCTTCACGAACTGATGAATTAAAAATGGAACACAAAGGTTGACACAACACTGAAGCGTTTTCCCGGAGAAGCCAAGAAGGAATTTCATCGGGACCAGCAGATGAATGAAGTTTAGATGATAATAGAGCCTTTTTCAGTCTCCTCGACAGAGATGCAGAACTCATCTGGAAAGTCATTTGTGGGAAGGGGAAGCCAGTTCAGACTGGAAATATAAAAGTTGGACTTTACTCTTGAAAGTATTCTTCAAGAGTTAGCGGCTTCAAGTTAACCTGACACGATTTTGATAAATATGCGTACATGGCATTCCGTGAAAATCCACAAACATGCAGTATATACGATTTCAGTGGAACATATGAAAGAGCTCGTCGTTGAATTCCACAAACCTAAAATACTGTACAGTGTCGTGGGAAAATAATACTAGATTAATAATAGAGTATTTCGAAATCATCAAATTAAAAAAAATAGGTACGCTGAGCGTACAGTATGGTTCGGCAGATCTACCGTGAGTATAGGTTCAAGATTGGCTATAGATTCAAGTACATTCATTTCTTGCTCTCTATTGACATCCAATAGCTCTGAAGGTCGTAAACAGTTTTTATACCATATTTCCCAGCTAAATCTAGTTTTATTCCAACGGACTGTATCGTTAATCGAGTTTTCAGTTCATAAAATCATGACATAATTTTTTCATCGAAGTCAAAATACGAAATTTTGGCACACCCATTGCCAAGATGAGCTGTTGGACGTCATTTCCAGTCTCTTTCAAACTTTGTGGACTCCAGTTCTAGCTTGAGATACCTAAATTGTCATGTGACGACCAACATACAGTTTTCAGAAATATTTGTGTTTAATTATTTTTATACACGGTAACCTATCAATTGACATTGATTTTCACAGGGCCGTGTAATAGTTACAAGTAAGAAAAGATTGGAACAGAATTAGAATATTTACAATTTATTGTTTAGATGCTGATTTCAGGTCTTAACCCCCCATATAAGTAAAACTTCTCTTCAT